CTACATCTGCCGACGATTTACCTGGTAGAACTTTGAAAGTATGAACAGAGGACTATGTGGTGGCCATACACAGCTGGGCTAGAGGTCTGGTGTCAAAACAGGTTATGAAAATCCCACAGATTTGGTGGAATGAGAATCACCATTTCCTCTTTTGCTCTATCTTTTTAAGGAGTTGACCCAGAGTTCACATTGGAGGGAAGGTATAAATTAGCCTGAACTGAGGTCAGGGAATTATCAAGACATTCGAGTCCAGATCCAGAGGATCCTTAGTCCTGGCTTCAGAGGTAGCTTGTTGTTGAACCTGGAACCTAGGATATCAATATCCAGAGTTCCCAATTTCTGACATATCAGATGTCTGGGTGAAGGGCCCATTGTCCTTGATCCAGGCAGTGGAAGTTGTGCTAGTCCACTTTCTAGGTATCAATTCCTAGGATGTTGCCTGCAGAGACTTCTAAATGGTGAATTTCCATCCATGAGATTATCTACTTTGCTTCCTTCAGGTTTGCAATACTTGTGTCCCCTTGATGGTTCTTATAAGCCACAGCTGTGGCACTGTCTGACTGCACCATTATTGGAAGTCCTCATACAAGGGGGGGTCTGCGGCGCCATCTGAACTGTTCTGAGCTTCAGGATGTTAATGGGGAGCTTGGCTTCCACAGGTGATCATGTTTCGTGAACTGTGAAGGACTTGAACACCCCTCTGCAGCCTGAAAGATTGGCATTTGTGATCACTTTCCAGAAACAGGCAAATAAAGACTTCCCTATTCTTAAAGCTGGGCTGGAGATCCTGTCCTTGTTTGGCTGGACAGGTGAAGTGGTAGATTGAGAAAAGTAGCATGCTTGTTCCAGGTCAACAAGATGTGTTGGAAAGGCCTTGAATGGAATTGGGCTAAAAGAACAGCCCTAAATGAGGATACTATAAAGTATAAAATAGTGGGATGTCTCTTTAACCTAAATTCTCAAGCGTGGCCTCAGAGAGAAAGAATATTCTTTTCTGGAAAGAAAACCTTTGCAGAGGATGTGTTCAGGACCAGATGCATGTATTCCAGCTGCAGATGTTTTAAATTGATCACTTAACTGTAAGCCTGGAGCATTTGAATTGTCCTGTGGGTGTTGCCGACAGGTAAAAAGTGAGAAGAGTCCTTCAGGAGAAGGTGGTCTAGATCAGCCCTTTTTGACCAGGGTGCCCAGGCACCCTGGCGTGCCTTCAGGTATCTTCAGGGGTGCCTTGGCAAAATGCCTAAAAATTGCCCAGAAATTGTATACAAGCCACCAGGTGGATCAAGCCTGCATTTTAGTTACACAGACACAGGTTTTCATTGTGCACCATTACAACTTTCTAGCTGCCGACGACATGAAAAAAAAAAATATCATCAGTTGATAAGGACATCAGACCCCTTGCACAGCATCCTTGCTTGCCCCACGTCCCTCTCAATCAGCACTGGGGTCACATTAGCTGAGAGAGAGAAAATGAGGAAGAGAAGAGGAAAAAAATGGAATACTAGTCAGTACCAGTGTGCAAAGGTGTATTTGCTTTGGAGGAATAAATCGCCTCTAATATTGGGTGTTTCACATGTGCAAATGTTGCTGTTTTTTACATTTTGTAAAGGGTGCAGAATTTTAATTGTGCAGAACTGTAAAGTGTGCTTCGAGATTGTGCAGAATTTTATAGGGTTCCTTGACAGAAAAAAAGGGAAAAACACTGGTGTAGATAACCTTTGACCTAGATGCCCCGAGTTCTGAGAAAGGCGATAGGACCTTTGTGAATACTCTGGTAGCAGATGATAGGCCAAAGGGCAGTAAGACAACCTGGAAGTGGTTGTCTAAGGATGCCATGTATTGCCCAAGTATCAGACGCAATTACCTACCTTGCAGATTCCATGCAAAATTTTGGAATTTTAAGGCATTAGTTGAGGGATTTCAACATAAAGTCAAAGTCCATAATGGAATAAATACCCGCTCATTTGAACTTTATTTTATAGCCCCATGAAACCACTAATTGACGTCTGTGGACATCTGTAACCCACAGAGACAAACTGTAACAAATGTTCCTCCAATCTTAAGAGTGAGGTTGTCCCTTCATTGGGACAACAGCTTTGGGGAAGACATCGTGGCTTTGAGGCACAGGTTTTATGCCAAAATAAAGGGCTGAACTTGGGCTTAAAAGCAGAAGAATGGGTTAAGCAATTAGATTATGTTCCTTTTGCAAAGGAAAGAGCTTCTGTGGAGGAGGGTTTTTGGATCTTACACTAAGGACGTAAAAACTTCCCTCCACCTTTTATAAACTGGTCAAGTGCATCCCCAAGAAGATGTCTTCCTTGAAAAGGCATACATGTGAGGTGTCATTTACAGGTAGCTTCAGTCATCCAGGTTTTTAGCTACAGTATTCTGCACATGTCAGTACAGATTAAGGCAATTCCAGAAGTTTGTCTCATGACATGTTCTAGGGCACATGTATTAAACACAAAGCCCACTTCTGGCTCTCCAGGCCATTTCATGCGGCCCTCGCACCTCTCCTGCAGCTGCGGGAGCCCCCTAACCTCCACCCTCACCTTGTTTCAGCAGTAGGCAGAAGAAAGAATGAAAGAACTCCTCCTACAGACCCTGCACCTCTCTGTGCAGCAGCAGCACCCCCAGTCTCCACCTCCCCTGGTCTCAGCATTTAACAGACTGACTCCAGCCCCGGCACTTTCTGCTTCCCAGCTTCTTCCTGGCAGCAGCACAAAAATAAAGGGGATGCACTGTGATGTGAGGGACTTGACTTTTGATGGTGGGGGGCTGTTGACATCTGATGTAAGGGGAGGGTGGGGTGCTCTGGACATCTAGTGTTACAGATACAACCAACCCTTTGAGGGAAACCATAATGCTGACGCGGCCCATAATGAAATTGAGTTTGACAACCATGAGCTTCCACACAAAAAAGCAGAGCAGAGGATAACTGCTGTAATTGTTCTGTTAACATGCTATCTTGGAAAATAGGGTCATGTTAGTTGTATATTGCCCTATTCCAGTTAGCTGAAGTTTGACACACTAAAATTGCAACGAGAACTGGCTGCAGGGCTGGCCCTGTACAGTGAAATACACAGGGTACAGTGAGATGTTTAAGACTGCAACAGCAGGATCAACTACAGGAATAGACCAATTACTTGACAAACTCTACCCAGTGGAAAAAATAGTTCTTAATTATTTTAGGAGGAGTGAAAATTCTTTCTTAAGTGATCCAATTGTCATAGATTTCCCATTCTCTCTGTTCAAGAACAGGGAATGCCTTTGAGGGTTTTACAGGTCTTTGTACCTCCCAAACAGTACAGCCTGCCCTGTGTTTTACAGTAACGGCCAGAGAGAGGGTGCGATTGTATTACCTGTTCACACTGGATTGTATATAAAGTACAGACTTCGCCCAGCTTGGTGGGCATACCCTTGAAGGGGTTCTCCAGGACTGGGTTTCATAAGAATGAACCACAACCCTGGACCGGTGTATCACCCTGCAGCTGACTACATGAGTTGTACATAGCGCCAAGGTGGGTGCCCATGCAGGATTCAGTTCCTGGAGCAACATTACTGCTATCTTCACAGCGTGGGGTCTGGGTAAGGCTCCCAAGGTTTCCACAGGTTTCATCAATCTGGATACATTAATTCTATTTGTGGCGTTAGAAGTCAGTAAGGAGTTGACTGAAGAATCTGAAGATAAAATAATAAAGGAAAATTTTAAAAAAATACTTAAGCTAAGAGTGATTTCTCCGTGAAGTGGGAGAGATCAATCACCTTAAGACACTAGCACAAAACTGAAGACTCATGGAGTGGGGTAGGGTTATAGAGAAGGTCATCAAAAGCTTTGCCAGTGTCCAATCACCTTAAGATACAAGCTTTTAATCCAGGGTCTATGGCTGTGGTCTTTGCCTATGCCCTGTACAATTAATATATTTCAAGAAAGCTTATATTGAGTTGTCACAAATTACTATGGTTTGCTTTGCTATTACAATGATGATATTTTATCTCAACATATATCTTAACATGTTCCCCATTGATTTATGTGACATGTGAACTTTTGGATAGGCCCAGTTTAAATTCCTATATCCACTAGATGACACATTAAAAGCTGTAGCATTTCAATGGATAATTGTAGCTCCTCTACAAAATGATCCATGGGCCAAAATCTTCATTCATAAAAAGAAAAAGGTAAATAAAAGTAATTAAATACACCTCAGCAACTGGCTGTGATATATCCTGGCAGATCAGTGATATGCCCGGCTGTGATATGGCTTGTTTAATCGTGTGTTTTGGGAATGTGCGAAGTGGTGTCCTTTTTGGACTGGAGTATTAGATAATATCAACGCAGTTGGCAACCTGTCCATCCCCATGGATCCGCTGATAATGCTGTTGGGACCTACTGATCTTGCGGAAGCACCCAAGCACTGTAAGCGGTTTGTCTTCTCTTATTACGCTAGATGAGACATTTTGTTGAGATGGAAGCCATCAACCCTGCCCACAGTCTCTGGTTGGAAGGCAGGAATCAATGGTGCGCTTCCTCTATATAAGCTTACTTATATAAGTTGCAACTGTCCAGCAAAATTTGCTAAAATCTGGGCTGGGTGGGTGGAGGCACAGGGGCTCACAATATAAGTTGTGATGTCTACAGTTAGTTATTGTAAAATGTTTGCAATACCCGAAAAATGTGTTGCTACTTGTACTGCCTACTCTCCTTCCTTGCCCTTTCTCCTTTCCCTCCTTCCTCACTCTCCTTGATTCCTATCTTGCTCCCCTTCCCTGGCAGGACATCAGCCTTTAGACCACACTGCATGCTTGCTTAACAAGTTTGCTCGGGCCGTCAGAATGCTATTGTAAGACTCTTCTGTTTTGGAATACTAGTGTATACTGTTTACCTTACCATATAATGCCTGCTTGGTTTCAAATACCTTTGATTGTCTGTACCGCTGTACAATTTCAATAAATGCAACTGTTGCAAAAAAAAAATAAAATAAAATAAAACTGTGGTTTACTTTTGCTTGCTCCCAGAACTGTTCCCTATTGAGCCGTTTCATTTCCACAGCAGCGTTTGTCTTCTGGTAATTGGTTCCCTGTGGGGAAGATAAAATGTGACATTTCTAGTTGTGTTTCACCCACATACAAGTCCACATGGTGCACGCTGCCCTCTACTCACCACAGAATCAGAATCCTCCCGGAGCTGCAGTCGCTGCAGGACTGGGCTAGCAAGACGTCCAGAACCATTGGATAGACGCTGGCCTATAGCCATAGGATCTATATCCTCCACACTGCTGGCATTCACTATGACATCAACCCCCTACACAAGAAAATAAATGTTAGGTTATTAAGCTGCTCTACTTGGAAAAATGTTAAAAATATTGCAAAGAAGGTAACACATACAAGGTCTGTAAAGCAGATTCAATATAAACCCTGCTTACAACAATCAAGCAGGAGGTTGTGCAGGCAAAAACAAAGCACAATGGCGGGAATTTACTTAAACTGGAGCAGACAGAATCTTGGAAGAACTGTGCATAGTAACCAGTCAGCTTCTAGCCACAGCTTGATTGGTTGCCATGCACAGCTGCTCCAGGATTCTGTGTGCTTTAAAAATTAGCCAAATTTACCTTTCTTCTGCCTATTTATTTTGCACTCCCACGATTACTATTCCATTATATATATGCACATATTAAAAGGCTGTACTTTGAGTAGGAAAATGCAGCACACTGACACCTCATGTGATGTTATGGCAGGCACTGGGACTTTCACTTATAATCAAGCACTGTTAAGCATTGTAACTAACATGGACAGCTGCCTGTAGTTAAAGTGGTGGAGTAGTCACAGAAGGGTGACAAAAATACAACAGCATTGAGGGCTGGAGGGTCAAAGTTGTCACCCTGTAACAGGAAGTCAGAGTCTCTGCAGAAACTGGCATGAGCAACTGGTGATCAGTACAAGAAAGCAAAGAAAATAAACTCAGAGTCTGCAGTAAGTAAGTCGCAGCTATACAACCAAAAATAAATTTTAAAAAGGAACTTCACTCAAAAGGGAACGTTCCGCTTGTTTGCTTCCTTTCCCCCCTCCCTCCACTGCTACATTTGGCATTTTTTTGGGGGGAGCAATACCTGGTTTTGGCAGGTACCCACTCCCACTTCCAGTCAGATCTACCGCGGCAATCTAAGCCGGAAGTTCAGCCTCCCCTCCTTCCCTCGCAGCCCTCTGGGACCATTCAAAGCGCAGTGCGCATGTGGAGTAGCAAACCGGCTGTGAAGTCACAAGGCTCTTACTAAAGATGCCAGCACCTGCAGCCAAAGCTGATTGAAGAATCAGCTCAGGTGAGGACATTGCTGGATCCCTGCATAGGCAAGTGTCCTTCTGTTAAAAGTCAGCAGCTACAGTACTTCATTTTTTGGGGGGAGCCTGGAACTCTGCATTAAGGTTTACTAATTAGGTATCAATTTCACAGACAAAAAGAAAAAAACTAAAAATATTAAACATAAACCTATAAAAACTGCACACCCCAAAGAGTTTACTTTTTAACAGGAAATCATTTACCACTTTTAATGTTTGTGACTTAGAGTGGCAGAGTCACAGATGACTCTTTGACATGACAAAGACTGAGTAAAAATGTCTACTGAACTGATTTATAAAGCAGTGAATGTTACATTCGCCAAACATTCGCTGGAGGCAAATCAAAAGCCAGCTTAAAAGAGGGGTGCATAAAAAAAAATAAACGTATATACGCCCATATATGCTGCAGCATTGGTGTAAGGCTGCAGTTGTCTGACATCAGCTCTAAGCCGAAGAACTGAGAAATCACATGACGCTGATTGCTCGACTCTTTGTCTACTCAGGGCAGAGCGTAGTGACTGTCAGTCGCTGTTCTCTGCTCTGCCTTTCCAGCCCTCACTGTAGCTTCAGGATGGAGAGGGAGCAGGCACAGCTGGTTCCAGCTCTCCGCCACACACTGAGAGCCAGTTGTCAAACAGGCAGCTGAGTGGATCCCAACAATATAGTTGGCTCTGGAAGGACTCTGTGATCTCAGCTGACAGAAGACTTAAGCATGCTGTCAGCTGATTCTAAGTCAAAGGAGAGCAAAAGTATGTGCACTCCTGTGACCCACAAACCTCAGAGTTTAGAGTTTCATCCTTGCAAGAAAAATACTCCCTAAATTACATTGTGACAGGTAAATCTTTCAGCTATTTCTCTCCCCCCTTTCCTTGATTTAAAGATCATCTTTGTTCAGCACAGATGGCTGCTACACTGTCATGGACCGCAAACTTCAAATCAGTACCCTGTGCTCTTCTAAGTAACCACTTTATCATGGATGCTCTCACTTGTGATTTTAATGACCATATTAGAAAAGTGTCACTAGTATGAATATACTTGTCTGGGTATGGCTACAAGAGTGCATGCCACTGTAAGCTGTACCACTCACAGTGAAGAAGAACCTCAGTAGTGGCACATATCCTGTTTAGAGTCAGCCCCAATGCCATGGTTTTATTTCATAAATTAATCTTTTTTTAGTACATTTAATGGGATGGATCAGTGAGACTATATACAATACAGGAGAGCTGGTACTAAACACAATTCGGTCGGGGATTTAAGATGCACTTTTTTAACAAGCTTTATTGAGAATACATTAGCTAAACAGTCTCTTTGGATGTTACATATAAAGGTTGCAGTGACAATGAACAATTCTTCAGTTCATTAAGTATACTGATATTAATTCTTACCTGGAAAAAGTCTGCAACTTGTGCTACATGACTGGCACAAGCACATTTTTTCTGGCATCTGCAACATCTTCCCCAACCTAAGAAATGAAGAATATACATTAGCCCTCAACTAATAGCGCGTGTTGATCATTGTATTCTGCTACAAGTAGGCCTTGTATGGTGAGAGTATACTCTCCATAATGTCCAAAACCTACAGTACTGTAAAGTACCCTTGGGGATAACCTTGGCTGGATCACCTATGTTTTTACTTCAATAAGACCGAAATTCAGTTATGTGCACATGGGATCTTTTGTCTATAATCTCGCCTAATACAAATATGTCTAATCCGTTAAAAAATACATCAACATTTCTCTATTTGTTTCTTGAAGACCTGCATAACAAAGCAATTTGATGATAGTAGCCTGCAATGCAGCTTTTTGCATCATAGGTGAAAAGCACTGTTGATTGTCCATAATCCAGTTCACAGATCATGCAAACTAAAGTATTTACAGATTCTGAACAAGCAGTAAAAGCACTTTAAAAGGGTTAGTTCACCTTCTGATGACATTTGAAAAAAAAATCCATATGCATTACAGCTTTGACTATTCATTAAAATGCTGTCCTCTGTTTGAAAAATTATCCTTACTTTTGATGCTGCTTCTACCATGGGGACTGCTTTCTGTCCAGCCTACATGGCACGATAAACCGACCATTGGATGTGCATACCCAACACCTCACAAACAAGCACTCTATGAACTCAGCTTGCCTAACCATGTATCCACATTCTACAAGCATGGTTAGGGAAACCGGGTGCTCACTTTTAGGACAGAGAGGGGGAGCCAACAGTAGAAGAGCAGCTTCTAAAGTAAGAATCATTTTTTCTAAAAATGTATCGGTCATTGAACATGAACTAATCATTTAAGCCAAGACCCTACCCCAAAAACTACATCTCCCAAGAGCTCTTTCCCTGCACACCGAGTGTGTACACGCACACACACACACATATATATATGTGTGTGCATGTATGTGTGTGTCTCCAAGTTCTTTGGAGTCAAGGAAGCAAGCACTGTTTAGCTGGCAAAGAAATCATAAATGCATGTGAAGTGGGACAGAAAAGGGTGGTGGACATGTGGAATTCTGTAGACCAGCAAGAATTGCTGACAATGCTGCTTAGGATTTTAGTGTAGCATCAGTACTGTGCTGTCAGCTCAAACAGCAAGTTAGGGTTAGGGCACATTGAATTTCTGTAAATCAGCAGGTATTTTTCTGTACATGGAGCGTTTTAAATGTATAATACAGATTGAAATGTGCATGTATTGATGTTTTGAACATAATGGGGTCAATTTGCTAAAACTGGAGGATGCAAAATCTGGTGCAGCTCTGCAGAGAAACCAGTCAGCTTCCAGGTATTTTGTCAAAACTGACTTGAACAAGCTGAAGTTAGAAGCCTATTGGTTAACATGCATGGCTGCACTAGATTTTGCACTCTCCAGTTTTAGTAAATCAACCCCAATATTTTTTTTTTTTCTTGCACAAACACCTTCTTTAAAAGGCTGAAGGTTCCGGTACTAAACATACTGCATTCAGCAAAACCAGATTTTTAAAAGTTGTTGCCACTAGGGGGAAACATTGTTAGCACAAACTCTAATGTGCAAGCCTGTATCATCCCCATTTATTTATTTATTTTTAAGAAGTATCAGATGTGATCAGCCATTCAATGTAAAAAGTTGTCAAATAAATTAAAATAGAAGTAGGTTTAACGGTCCAAACATTTGTGATGAGATAAGGTATCATAACTTACAGTATATTAGGAGAGCAAAGAATTTAGTTTGTATAGGATAGAAAGTCAAACTGTCACTCTAAAGGCAGACATATGGAGTAACTGTGAAACCTAACATTGTATAGTCAAGAAACTCTTGCACAGGATATCAGTCAGACAAGCTGAAAAATGTTAAGCCTATTCCTCGGTTTCCTGCTGATTAAGCAGAGGTAAGCCAGCTCCATGGATACCCTCTCAGGAGTGATCGCCTGACTTGCAATCAATGGATTGTTTGAATGGCTGATCTTTCATACTTGCCTCTTTGACTATAGGAAGCGTCCTAGATCCATGTCTCTATTGTAACAGAAAGATTTCCAATCTTGTCATTACTAATAGGAAGTATTCAGTAACCATAAAAGTGTGTTTAAGCACTTATGGCCCATTCACATCATTGTGGCAAGTTAACACATAAATGTGTGGTGGTAAAGGCAGCCAACTTTTTTTTTTTTTGGTGCATTAGGAAGCTCATGTTAAAAAGTGCATTCATCAGTTTTGGCAGCACACCACAGCATATGTCAGTGCACTGTGGTGCCATTCAAAAGGAATGGCGCTGTATCACACCAATGTATGTAACTCGCGTTACTGCAACACAATGGTGAGAATAGACCCAGAAAGTCAAGGAAATGTAGCATTATATGTGATCTATAGTCATCTTCTTGATGCTACACAGCCTCGCTTTGGACCTATAGCAGAAAAGGATGCCTATCACTGATTAGAACTAGCCATTGAGTAGAATGAATTTGGCTTCAAAAGGTAGGTAAAAAGAAAACAGAAAATATGCAAAAGGTGACACAGCATAACACAACACTAAAGACCTACCCAGTTTATAAGGACATATCGAGCAAGCATGGCATGAGGCTCTTTTACACTGCAGAATCCATACATCACTTTCTGGTTCTCGAAATGGCTAGAAAGGTCAGGCAAACCTCCACCTGAAAAAAAAAATACAACAGAAAAACATACCACACTGACTAAGATTAAATAAGAACAATCAGTAGCTAACCGAGAATATATTTTCTCGCTGGTCAACTACAGCATTTTGTGGGGTGAGATTCTGACTTCCCTCCTAGTACCCACTATCATTTATTTCCCTGTGTGTTTGGGGGTTGCCTACCACTATATGTCTTGGAAGGGTCAATGGCGAGTGTTTCATATATTGCTATGCCTGACCAGTGCCAATGTGTAAGGTGTGGGACACTCCCTAGAAAATTATAGGGATTTCCTTTCCTACTGGATATACCCGTTTGGGAAAATAGGTTCCCTGAGCTTTCTATCCCTTCTACCATATCACAATTATAAGATAATGGTTCTCTTAAAAATGTATGAGCAGCTGAGAACAGAACTCCCTCTTCATCCAAGGTGGTTTTACCAGTTTCTCCAATTGCGTCATGAGCCCAATTTCCCTGAGCTGCAGTATCTTTCTCCCACTCCTGCTTTGGATAGAATTGTACAAGCAACTTCAACCAAGGGCCATATTTCTGAAACAGATATGGCTGTGTTACATGAATTTCTATGGAAGTTTGCTGTTCCTTTCAGGGCAAGGTGTGAAGATGATATTGGCCCTATCTCTCGGGATGTATGGAAGATCTTTTGGCTCCTCCCTTGTGTTTCTCTTTCCAACACAAAGATTATTTTGTATTCTTCATAGGGTGTATAGAACCCCCAAATTTCTTTATACCATAGGCTTGAGATCTGACCCAGCCTGTGCCAGGTGTGGTAATCCTGGTACCTTCTGTGGTGATGCCCTAAACTCCAGAAATATTGGGAGGAGGTGGTTGGTAAACTTAATGGGCTCTTAGACGTAAATATTACTGTTGAACCATTAACATGCCTACTGGGTTATACATTTTTTTTAAGAAATTCAATGAGAAAGTTTGATGTTATCTGGTTACAATGACTCAGACTATGGGCCCAGTATTGGAGTAGGCCAACTCTTGTTTTAAACATTGGTGCACCTCATAGGGGTTATATGTTATTCTTTTTTATATTTGCTTCGTCGGTCAGTTATAGCTGTTATTATGTAATTGTAATTATTCATGTGCTTACCAACACGTTATTGTCCTAAGTAGATGAGATATATATTATATACAGTATATTTTAGGGAAAATTGTATTCCATAATTACCTTAATTTTCCTTTTCTGGATCCTCCCCCATGTCAGTCTACCATGGGTCAGCTCTATCCTCTCTGACCCCTCCAGGACAACCTCTTTCCTAGCCCATAAGAGTGGCCATCTCCCCTCACTCAGCAATCAACATATCACTCTTTGTGAGGGAGACTGGATGGGAATCCCCGGCTGACATGGGGAGGATCCAGGAAAGGAAAAATTACGGTAAGTATGGAATGCAATTTTCCCTATTCCTGGACCTCCCCATGTCAGCCTACCACGGGATGTACCAAGCAATGATAAAAGGAACAAAAAGGGAGGGGAAAAAAACAAGACACAAACAAACTGAATGCTGCATATAAACCTCTATTACTGACAACCGCTGCAATGACGGTAGATTGAATAAAGACTGCTCTGATGGAAAAGCCATACTCCCATTCTGTGGTGGCAAATAAATGCATTTGCCATGCTCCAGCTTGCTGCCCTGCAAACTACCTTTGCTGACACTTTAGTGTATGCTGCCCATGAGATTGAGATGCTTCTCGTTGAATTAGCGCTTACTTCCAAAGGTGGTGGCAAGCCTAGGCTTTGTAGGCAATCTGAATGGTCTTGACAATCCACGAAGACATGACCTTGAGTAGTACCATGAAGCCCTTCCTTGAACCTTGATAGAAGGTATAAAATACTATCTTGTTCATGGATGCCCTCTGCATTTCAGATATACTGAAAGTGAATGAACCAGATCTAATTTCTTCCACTCATCCTCTGACCCATCTTCCAGAAAAGGTGAAAGTACAGACTCCCAACTTATGGAATGAAGTTTAAACTTTTTGGAAGAAATTTGGGACCTGTCACAGAATGACCCGTCTAGGAGGATCCATTAGTATGGCTCTCTAGCTGAAAAAAAAAAAAAAAAAAAAAAAAGGCATACTTGCCAGATACTCTCCTTGTGGTAGAAATTGCCATCAGGAAACCAGGCTGGTGGGTTGGGGGAGCCCACAGCTTTGGTCACCAGGTTCAAAGTCGTTGGAAGACGTAGACTATGCAGAGTTCCTAACCAGCCTGGTTTTGGAAGCTCAAGAGGGACCCTGCCCTTCAGATTGCGCAAAACCATCCACCAGGTTAATAAACGGGCTATAGGACCAGGTATGAGGATCTGCTGGTTCAATACGATGATCCCACTGGTGAAGGAAACTGAATTGAAACTTTCTTCTTCAGCATCTGACCCAAGGAAAAAACTGGGATGGTGGGATAACAGAAGGCCCAGGAACTGCATGTATTCTTTTGCCAATAAGCAAGGCTTGCTTATTACTTCCCGCAACCGAGTCTGGATTTTTTGGACTTTCTACTAGGGGAGAAAGATATAGCAGGATCTGCGCTGGTTGCAGTTGACTCTTTTGATGATTGATTATCCACCCAAAGCATTTGAGTGTGTTACATGTTAGAGAGACATGATCCATCAGAAGATTCCTCAACAGGGCCAACAGAAGGATGTCATCAAGGTAATGAAATATCCGAAGTGCCCTAAGTCTCAGAAAAGCTATGATGGCTGACAGCAGTCTTGTGAAGGTCCTGGGAGCGGTGCAAAGCCTGAATGGAAAAAACAAACTTGAAAAGTGCCCCCTTGTACGCAAACCTGAGAAAGCGATAATGAGCCAGAACTATGGGGGCATGCAGATAGGTGCCTGCCAAATCCACTGAGGCCATCCAGTCTGACTTTTACTACTGAAATGATGGTCTCCAAAGAATCCATCTTGAAAGGAGGGGCCTTCATAGAGGAATTCAGATTTTCCAGGTCTAGAACTGGTCTGAAGACGCCTGAGGAATTGAGCACCAGAACCAAAGAGGAATATGGGCAGCACAGTGGCTAAATGGTTAGCACTTCTGCCTGGCAGTACAAGGGTCGTTGGTTCGAATCCCAGCCACGGCACCTCCTGCCTGGAGTTTGCATGTTCTCCCTGTGCCTGCGTGGGTTTCCTCCGGGTACTCCGGTTTCCTCCCACACTCCAAAGACATGCTGGTAGGTTAATTGGATCCTGTCTAAACTGGCCCTAGTATGTGTACGTATGAATGTAAGTTAGGGACCTTAGATTGTATGTTCCTTGAGGGTTAGGGACTGATGTGAATGTACAATATATGTAAAAGCGCTGCGTAAATTGATGGCGTTATATAAGTACCTGAAATCTCTCTCTCTCTCTCTCTCTCTCTCTCATTGGTACAGGAAAATTAGATTAAGCTGTTAATTTTTTTTATATATGCATGCAAACAATTCAGTTTGTCTGGACACATTGGTACCCAAATTCCCCCAAAGTAATACCAAGGGGCTTTTTGCAAATTCTAACAGATATCCACTTCGGATGATAACCAGAATTCAAGCATCCTCCACTTCTTCCACCCAAACCTCCCTGAATAGTGCCGATTGTGCTCCCACTTGAGGGCTGGGTGGAGACACATTTCGAAGGCCTTGTCCTAAGACTTAATTGGCTGGCTTGATTTGGACTTGACTCCCTTGGGAAATGCAGCACTGACATTCTTCCAATGTCTGAAAAAAAGCCCACCTGGCCTCCACTGGCCTGTACACACTGGCTTTTTTTTAAAATTATTTTGAACTCTTCTGAAAGAGCGAAAAAGGACTGACGTTACCATTTCTTCTGCTGCAGCATAAGACCTGACTTCCCACAGATACCTGCTGAATGGCAGCTTTAAAAGTCTTGCCAAAAAGGAGTTTCCCATCGAATAGAATCGAGCCAAGGCTGTGTTTAGAGGCATTATCAGCAGACCAATGCTTTAGCCATAAGGCTCTTTTGGTGTTACTGTGTGAGCCATTAACTTTGCTGTCATTCTGAGTAGATCCACTGCCGCTTCAGCAATGAAGCCCACTGCTATCCTGAAGAACTGCACTTCTCCTGAACCCCTGGACTCCATTCCTGCCACCCAAACTCTGAGAGCCATAGAGAGGTAAGGTCCCATCACAGTGTACATCCTCTTCAAATCTGTATCAGTATTGTGGTCCACTGGATTCCTAAAAGACACTGAACCTTCAAGTGGAAGCATTACCTGGCTGGCCAATCTCTGTAAAGAGGTGGCTACTTTGGGAACTATATTCCATAATTTGCCATCCCTTTTACAAAATGGGTATAACTTTGAAACTCTGTTATGGACATTTCATCTTGTTAGGTTTTTTGCCCATTTATCCTTAATGGGCTCTTAGATTTCAAATATCACACACACCCATAAATTACCGACAAAGCAAAAAGGGGATGGGACTACCTCCAAGGTAAGCCTGCTCTCAGTTTATTAATTGCTTAATTTATGCAACAGGTTGGGAGAATAGATATTTAACATCAGGGTTCCCCAAAGTGGGCAATATGAACGCCCACGAGTTGATGGAAATAAAATAAGCTTGGACCCGTTTCTGAGGGGAAAAAAAGACTGGGAGCCGCAAAACCATTGCAACATTTAAAACAAATCCGACACTGCATATATTGCAAAAAGGCTCTGGTCATGAAGGGGGTTTAAGGGCCCAGTAAGCAAAGGGTTAATCAGGGCCACAGTGTAATAATCACAATCATAGCCTTAGGTGGGTGGGCAACCTTTTTTTTTCAACTGAGGGAAATTTATTTTGAGAGAAACATTTTTAAAACTGAAAATACAGTAATTCATCTATAGTAATTCATCCCCCCATAGTAATTCATCCCCCATATAGTAATTCATCCCCCCTATAGTAATTCATCCCTTATATAGGTAATTCATCCCCCCATATAAGTAATTCATCCCCCATATAGTAATTCATCCCCCATATAGTAATTCATCCCCCATAGTAAGTTCACCCCCCATATAGTAATTCATCCCCCCTATAGTAATTCATCCCCCCTATAGTAATTCATCCCCCCCTATAGTAATTCATCCCCCCTATAGTAATTCATCCCCCATAGTAATTCATCCCCCATATTGTGTCAATTCACTTACCTTTGCTCCGCGCGTTCCTCTTGCTGTTTCCCGCGCCGTTCTGGTCTTCAGGGCGGACTGTGAGAGGAGAGGAGTTCCATGCTGCCCCGCCTACATCCTGACAGCCAATGTTTGCCAGCGGGCGCCCGGCACACAGAAGAGCTGCATTAAAAGAGCCGCGGCTTGCCGACCCTATTGCCTGTCACCTGGTGGGCAGTGTGCTCCGGAGCCGCAGGAAAAGGTGAAAAAGAGCCGCAGCGGCTAGTAAAGACACCCGGACTAGTGGGTCAAAAGAGGTCCAGTGAATGCATGGGGATCAATAGGTGGTCTACAGATTATGGAAGGTGCATTGGGGTCAATTCATCTTCAGAGGTCTCTGTAGCTCCATGCCAGTGCCCAGTTCTGACAGTGAGGTGACTAGTAGCGAGGTAGTGTTACCCAGGACTGGATGGTCAGCTACCAGTGACAGCAGTTTTGAGTTATCACAATCAGCTCTGTGTTGTTACAGGTCTTGTTTATCAGCGTGCTATGCGATGTGTGCCTGTGACCCTTCCACCATCCGTCTTCTGGAAAGGGCATACATACATGTTTCACTTCCGATACTGAGCATACTCCCCCACTGCAAACTATTTTGGAGAGCCACCGAGTAGACACATGGAGGTTTATTTACTAAAGCTGACGACATAATCAAGCACACTTCTACATAGAAACCAATCAGCTTCCAGGTTTTATTGAAAAGCAGACAAAAAAACAGGGGATGTAGAAGAGGTAAGTATACAGGGAAATTATTTGCTGGGAACTGCTCTTGCCTGAAGTTAGTCAATAAAGCAACTTTGCTTCTGTGTGTTTGTTGTGCAACAAAGTTCTGTACTTGGAAACAAAATCCATCTTGTTCTGGTCTGAGTTAAGGAAAGTCAGTGTCCTGCACTTTGTTTCTTGCAGTTTACGGAAGTCTGATAGTGAGCATGTTTTAGCAGATTGGCAGATCAAAACTGAATGTGTTCCATACATCTATTAGACTCTGAATCCTCCAACAATCAATAGGGAATAATCAGCAAAAAGAAGAACAATCCACAGAACTGAACAAAAACTGAGCATTTTGTACTGGTACAATGACAGTTCACCACTTACCCCCTGTTGATGCCAAGATGAGATTATCTGTGCCATCCTCGTATGTGTAGAGAGCCCTAGAAGAAGACAGAGAAGTAATTAAAACAACAGAACTTAAAATTGGAAACAATTAAAAAAAAAAACAAAACAAAAAAAAAAAACAGGATATTGTTGTGAATATGAGAACACAGAGCATCTAATTTTTTTTTTTTTTTTTTTTTTAGCTTTTTCTTTATTTCAAGGATAAGTTCACCATCTGGAAAAAAAATCATAAATGCACATTCTTTTTGCAGGTAAAAAAGAAAAAAAATGTGCATTTATTATTTTTGTCCAAAAGGAGCCTTTAATTCATTGCGCCAGCATTCAGTAGATCACTAATGCCATGCAGATCTCCTGCAGACCTGTCAGAATAACTGCTTGCCGTATGAGATGTATGAGCAAGTTGATATTCTGACAGGAAGCTTCAATGAACTACCATGGCACTCCACAGTGCCATGCTAGTTCATTAAAAACTACAAGCCCACAGCCACTAAGGCTCTCGGGACTTGTAGGCACTCATTCACAGAACTCTGTGAATGAGTGCACGGCCGTGTGGGTGGAGCCCCTCACAGCCATGCTGTTTTCAAATCTGACAGATACTGCGGGGAAACGTTTCCCTGGACTATCTATCTGTCGGAGGGGGTCGGCAGGCGTGGCTGCGGCTATGGGAACATGTTACATGTTCCACCCTAAAAACATGTGGAACATGTAACATGTTCCATGTTCCATAAGTGAACCCTTTAACCTGTAGCTCATAGCTAGAAATATTTTGGTATATAGGGTGGTTTATTTTTCAATTACATTACGCCATCCTTTTAACTGCCAGCAGCACCAAGAGTATTCCACATAATACCTGTAATGATTGTACTCAGTACATGAATTTGTTTTATGCCATACTTTATATTTTCACCTTTTCAAACACGCCTTTTATTCCTATGGTTTAAACCTTCTTGAAACTCCTTAAGCAGTTTGTCCCAACCCCTGTAATGGTCATTCCTATTAAACAGCTGGGTCTGCATGCAAATATGGAGAAATAATAAACCATGGCATGGAAAATGGAGAAAGGGGAATTCATATATAGTTAAAGCAGAACTCCAGGCAATTTGTTTTTCCCATGCAATGGGGCTGTGCCCACACCGCATGGGTTAACTGCTCGTTTTGTCTAGGGGTGAACACAGCCTATACTCAGCCTTTTAATCCTCTCGAAATCGGTGCTCTCTCATGTCCAGAGGTGGACTGTTTCTGCTGACCTCACATCCAGAGCCGGTCTAAGGGCGTGATGATGTCAGGAACAGTCCACTGCACAAGACTTCTAGACCGCAGGGAAAGGAGGGGTGGGAGCTTCAGGGATCGGGCTTGCACTGGGATCGGTGGATTAGTCGAGTAGTTCTTGGCTCCCCAATCCCCTAGACAAAACGAGCAGTTAACGGATGCAGTGCAGGCACAGCACCACTACATGGGGGAAAAACATGCCTGGAGTTTAGATTTTATATCTGAAAACACTTAACCATCAGAATGCAATACATTTCACAACAGTGGACTTTAAGATGCTAAGAAGAGGAAATATCTTGGCATGTTTATGCACCCAGTTTTCCCTGGTTTCTGACAACAAGCACTAAAATTCTGGAGAACAGCAAATGATTTATCTAGAAGGCCAAGGCAGTGGATAGGTTGAATAAACAGAAATGACATCAACACAGAACCAGAGACTCAGCAAATTCAAAGTAACCCAACGTCAACATTTCAACACAGTCCAACCACAAACTGATGCAGTAAAAAGAAACATTTTTTGGAAACCAAATACTTGTTTCATTGCGGTTATACAATTTGTGTTGTGGCCCTGTATTTACATAATAATTCCAAAACCAGGCATTGGAACTAAACTGGATCTCTCACATGCATACAGAGCTGTAGTAAAAATCCAAAATCATTTACAGCTACCCCCTCTTACCAACGTTTACAGAACGTGCATCGCAGTGCAAACTATTTTGTCGATTTACAACACAGGAAACAAAAAGCGCTCCAGACTGTCAACTGAGCTCTCTCTGTTCCCTTTTGGGTGCTGCCAACTGAAAAGGTAAAGCATGGCTTTTAATTACAGCCCCCATATTGAAACTTCAGGCCTTCCTGTTACTGTCATGTGTCGCTGCTCTCTGTAAGGTAGTATGTGACAACAATGACAAAGTTGAAAATTGTTTGCAGAGAAGTAGTGTTAGGAAACTGAAATGAGGACAAGAAAGTCTCTTTCCAGTGACAGACGCCAATACAGAACGTGCACCTTATTTCCTTTGCGTTTGTGGTTTATTTCTTAAAAGATATTTTGTTGTAAAGGTTGCCAACCTCATACTGAAACCAAAACATGGTGGCCATACAGAAGCCTATCTTTGCATGTGATATGAAAGAGTTAAGCCCCATACACACGATAAGAATATTGGACGAATGATCATCCGTTATTTTTTTTTGCATGCTAGTTTCATCTCGAAAGTGAAGAGGTTACTACAGTTACAAAAATTTTTTATACGACAGAAAGAAAATTCGGCAGTGATGTTATGTATTTGTATTGCATTTTCAGACAAAAACAGTACTGATTAAACAAAAATCGCACAATCTGGTATCGTACATGAAAAATTTTCGTGTTGTCCCGTCATAGAATTTCGGACGGAAGCTGTAAACTAACGATCATATTCGAAAGAGGTATTTTTCGTACGATTGTCTGATCGTGTGTACTAGGCTTTAGGGATCAAATGCAACAGCTGGCACAGATAAAAGTTCTCTAGAGATTACAAGTGCAAGATGTGGTCATCACACACAGTTTTACAAAATGCTGCCAATAAAAATAGAACACACCATAGCACATGTAATCTGCACTCACCTATTTGCTGAGAACGCAAGAACATTGTGAAGTTGCAATAGCTCAGCTGATGTTGACCAGAGCTCACACTACATTAGGGCAGACCCTTTATCTTCAAAAGACAGATATAAGCCACTTTATGTACCTAGGGGTTGATTTACTAAAACTGTAGTGCGCAAAATCTGGTGCAGCTATACCGGCTGGCAATAATTGCATGATAAATCTAACAGGCTGGTTGTACCCAAGTCACACAACAAATAAATTGGGTGCAATCAGCCTGCCCATAGATGGTTAGAATCTTAGCTGGTCTCTGCTGAACAGGCCAAGATTCGAACCATCTATGGCCAGCTAAATGCTCACACACAGGTCTAGCTAGAAACCTGGTCATGGACTTATTAGAATAATCAGCTTCCATTTTTTTTTTAGCAAGGTAGAGTGAAATAATTGTATTAGCAGTTATGTTCTTTTACTTCTTGCTTGACAGACAGCTTCTGAACACATGAAAACACCCAATGGAATACTTAGCACTCATACAGTGCTCCCCAGGCAACCCTCGTGCCAATTGGGTCTCTCACTAGGAGGGATTACCATAGAAGAAGAAAAAAGTTATCTGCTCACTGAAACCTCTACAACAAAACCACACTTATTCCTTTTACTGTGGATGGATTGATGGAAGAAAATGGTCTCTTAGGTGCACATGCAACAAATCTGTATACAGATTAAAATTGAGGAGAACAAAGTTTGCTTTGCAACCTAAGTGTCAAAAGGGATCTTTATGGTTACATTTTTTCTCATGAGCATACAAAATCCAATGATTTCCGGCTATCTAACCCATTAATTTATGCAACATTTAAAAAAAAAAAAAAATGGGGGTTCTTTTCTTGAATTTGGGGAACGGTTTTAAATGCTTGTAAAGCTGCTAATCCATTATCCAACCTTTAAAAATTTCATCTAAAATTGTCTCAGACAAAACATTGGCTGCCCTATGGTGATACAGACTTGCTATAGACACAACTAAATTGTGAAAAAAAGCTTCTTAATAAACATATCCAGACACCGGGAAATTATTCATTATGCATCATTTAGGCTATCATACCAGGTTTGTATCATTATTATTGTGAGTCAAACACAGGCAGATAAAGATACCAATGAATGTTTTCTTATCCCATTTTCCCAGAGCCAGCACATTTCAACAAACGATCACCATACAAATGAAGAAATTAACACTTGCACCAAGTCTATTCATTAACTTATCAGATAATCGCAATTTAATAAGAAAGATAAAGTTATCTCCAAGGGTAGGTTGCACGTTTATTGATGAGTTCAATGATTTGTGCTCACAATTCTCTTAACCCTCAACATCTTTGGGATGGAATAAAGATAGAATGATTTTGCCCTATTACGTTTATCTATATTATTACTAATTTCTGTTTTTACATGTTTGTAGGATGCCTTCCATGTATACTACAAACGCAAAGAGCAGGAAAAGAGGATGTGCTGTCCAGTGGCGTCACTAGGGGGGTGCAGGCTGCAACGCGTTACACCATCACGGGGGGGGGGGGCGGCGCCAAAATGAAAAAAAGCTGTCGGTGGCTGTCATCCATCCGAGCGGAGTGTCCCCCATCCTCTCCCCGGGTACAGGGGCTCCTCATCCCTCCTGCAGCCCCAGGAACAGCCGTGCCATGCGGGGTGTGAGATGTCAGGTACCGGCGGGGGTGGAGGGGGGTTCGGATCCCCGGGATCACAGCGGCTGCTGCAGGTCAATTCACACCCAGCCTGTCCCCCATATAGCGGAGCCTGCCCTCACCCTCTGATTGGAAGGCTCCTATTCTACATGTCAGTCCATGAATGGTAATGACCCCTCCCAGAGCCCGCCCCTCTGTATCACATAACACTGACCGGTCCCTGCACAGGACATCCTTCTGTCTCCCAACACAAAGCCTGGGGTGACCACACCGGGTGACACCAACCCTAGTGACTCCTCTGGTGCTGTCTATAACAAGATTCCAAATGCAGGTTTAGAAATATTAGGAACAATCTGTGTTGTTGCTATTGGGAACCCCTTTATATTACTTTCCCATTACATTTTTAGAACATCTATAGAGGCCAGAAAACTATTTCTGACAAGAATGAATTTTGACTGACTATTATCACGAGCCTGAATAATTTTAGAACAAAACTAATGAAT